GTGAAATGTCACCTCTTTGGGAGACCCGAAGTTACAATAGCTTCCTATTTTGGTCCAAACCCAAGAATGACCAAGTGGATCTCATGAATTACCCTGGGAACAGAATAAAATAGAAGAGAGACCCTTTAAAATTTTCTAACTACCTCCTTCCTTGAAGAGTTAAGGTGATGAAAGAGACATTATTAGTACTTATAAATTAATTAATTCAAAGCCAAGGATTCTGTGAACTAACCAATCATTCCTGATATTTAGAGGCCCATTTTGGGTGAATAAACGTCAAAAGCTGCTAAAGTTGACATTAATGCTTACTCTATGTGTTTTTCCTCCCCTTGCCCCTTCCTCCCCTTTCCTTCCTCCCTTTCCTTCTTCCTTTCTCCAATTTTAAGATTATACAGTGGTTAAGCCAGTAAGAGAGAAGACCAGGACCTAAAGAAAAGACATTGCAGGATGGTAAGGGAAGAAAGAAGCACTGTTTAGAACTTGCAAATACTTGCTTATAAGGAGATGCTGCAAAAATGTTTATCACTTTCTGACATTTGGCCATAAAGCTCACATTGACCTGCCAGTGGATATAAACAATTCATGCTTTCTCTCTGCGTAATCAACCGACTGGGCTTCCCGTGAGCTTACCTAGTTGAGTTTGTACAGCCACTGGGAGCTTGCAATTGAAGTGTTCTCTTACAAATCAAAGCCCAGTAAAGCAGAAGAGAATTTATATTAAGGGATTACAGAGACATTAAGGGATAATTTAATCACAAAGTTTAACCTTAAAAGCATTTTGTGATATGTTTTTTCAGTATCAAACTTCTTTGAAATATTTGATTATTAGCAGAAAACTTCATTTACCTGAAAAAACCTGACTCCTTTCCAGTCAAATACAAATCAGAAATTACTATAAAACATAGCTAAACTTACAGTATAAGGGTAACTTAAAATAGGAATCACTTGCAAAAAAAATAATCTGAAGACAGCCTTTCCCTCGGAAATATGTCTTTTGCATAAAGCGAGGTCTCCCTGTAAAATAAAAATTAAAGGCAGCTGAAATGTACTTCAGCTTATCTGTAGAAAAGCCAGGACCAACTCAGAAAGGAAATGCCTGGGATACTGCTTGGTGTCACAGCACATAGGAGTTAAGATAACAAACTGCCTCCAGCCTCTTCCAGGGCAGCAGAAAAAAACCAAAAGTGTCTCCCACGGTTGTAAAAATCCAGAGAATGATGTCGTAGACCTGAGCATGGAGAAAGAAAACTGGAGCAAATGCTTTTTTAATGTTTGCCTTTAGGCAGGGTTACTTATTTACTGTTTACAATAAATGTAAAATACCACCTCTGTTTCAGAGAGATTCTTTTGGTTTAGGGTCCTACTGTGGAAAACATATAGGAGAAAATTATCCTCTGAAGTTGGGTGGAAAGAGAGGTGTTAAGTATTGGGTGGCAGAGAAAAGGAGGGTGGTTGAGATAACTCTGTGAGCTTTTAAGTTTGACAACTTTGCATCTTCCAGTGAGATAAAAAGATTGATGTGAGCTTAGCATATTCTTTTTTGTTGCAAATTGCACATATAAATAAAGTTTAAGCTCTTTAAAAGCATCAGGTTATGGTTTTCACTCCCAAAACTAGGTTACAGTTGGGCATGGACCATTATGATAGAAGGAGAAGTAACCGAGGCTGACCAGGGGTGCTACACAAGGAGAAGTTCAAGCAGAACAAGTGGAAGTCTGCTCTGAGAATCCAAAAGGCAGCAGCCGAGTGGGGGAACTGGAGTCATTATAATTCTTAACAAGTTAATGTGGAGCAAACTAATAACAATCTCATAAGAAAGCCAAGGCTAAGAATCAGCTAATAAATGAGACCAATACTTTTATCACAATCTTATTAAAAAGAGACAAACCATGCTTATTAACAGTAGGAATCTTTATCCCTCCCCATTTTATTTGTTATACTAGTTTCTGTGGAGGCGTATCCTTATAAGTTCATACAGTCTTAAAAATCTAAGCCTAGAACATTGAGTTTACTGCTCCCCTAGCAAGTGATACCAAATTACAGTTAGTAAGAATATATTCTGAAGAAAAGCAAGACAGCTTCTTGAGTGTTCTCAGATCACCTGGCTTTATGATAAAAGGAAAATTTGTAACAAAAGCATACATGGTGGGCTGGTGAGGATGCTTTCCGAGCTGAGTTGGCATGTTTAGGTCAAGCTCCACCTGAAGCCCAGTCTAATAGGCTTGGTGCTGAGGGTCCTCTGTTCCCTAGGGAATGAACAAGTTGAAGCATGACCTTCCAGGAAGTTTAATATATTGGTATATAAGCAACTCTATCCTCTCGCCTTTCCCTTCCTAATTTATAGCCTTCTGTGACTGGTTTATAGGAGTTTTCAAAAGATGTGATGAGCTTTCCTTGCAGGAGACTTGCAAGGGATTGCAGGGTAATGATGTGTCAGCTGCAAACTCATTCAGCTAATCTGAAGGAAAATTTTTAGAGCAGGAAGGAGCCAGATTCAGAGGTGCTGACTTGTGAAACATGGTAGTAAGTGTACTTCTAACTAAAGAGCCAAAATTCTAGTTTCCTAATCATGCAAAGGAAATGAAGTAGTGATGGGCAAAAAGGCAAAAAACTGAACAACAGCAAAACATTCACTCATATGCACCATCCATTCCAGAGTTGTCCTCTCTCATCAAAATTAGGAAAGCAGTTGATAATGGTTGTACACAGAGGTTAGAGGGAAAATGCCTGTCAGCCTGTGGCTCAGGGTGTTGGGTAGATGGAGAGGCTGAAAGATTTGATTGGGAGTCATGTGAGCACAACACAGTTGGGATAAGGACCAGCAAGAGCTAGACTTGCAATTCTGATTAAATAGTAAGGCAGGTCTGTGAGCACAGACTCCATGAGAATGGTTTCATCTCATTAATTCACTCATTGTGGCTGTATAGAGCATCTTTTAAGTGCAAGGCACTCTGGGAGCACAATTATAACAGTTATGGCCTCACTAAGCATATAACTGAGTGTTCCAGAAACCAGGGTCGCAAAACAAATTACCCCAAAACTTAATGGTGGAAGACAGCTATTTATGATGCTATGGAGTATATAGGTCAGAAATTCACTCAGGGCACAACAGAGTCGGTTTGTCTCTGCATCATGGTGTCTGGGGGCCTCAGCAGGAAGAGTTGAAGGCAACTGGCTGAAATCATCTGCAGCTTGTTTACTCATTTGAGTGGTGATCTGTGGTGCTGTCAGCTGAGACCTCACCTGGGTGGGTGGCCACAGTTCCTACACATGGTCTCTTCATGTGGTATGGGATTCCTCACAGCATGTGTCTGAGCTCCCAAGGTGAGTGCCAGAGTGGGTGAGCCAGGCAGAAGCTGTATCTTTTTTATGACCTAGCCTCAGAAGTTACATAGATAGCAATACTCCCACCGCCCTGTACTGGTGAGGACCATCACAGATGCTGCCGAAATTCAAGGAGAGGGAACACCAACCCTAATATCCGTGGAGGAATGCCAGTCACAGTGAATGGGAAGCAAATACATATGTGTGTATGTGTGTGTACATATATAATAAAAGTTAACTTTGGAAAAATACTATCGACCACAATTTTAAAAATTACAAAGTAAAAAGTGATAAACATTATTTGTAATTATTTTGTAAATGATGGCCCAAAGAATCATAGTGTTTCCAAACTTTAATCATGTGCATGTCACTCCCACTATTTTTATTATTGTTTCCATCTGCACTTCCTAATATTTCTCTTAAAATTGACTCACTGGTGGTAGCTTTGTTATTCAAATTAGTTTTAAAAGCAAACAAGATACTACTACTGAAAATCAGATTTATTTTGGCCATAATTTGCCATAAAATAAAAGCAACCTTAAATAAAAATAGAACAGTTCTTACATGTCACATATATTGCTTTCCAGTGTAAGTTCTGAGGCTGAAGCCAGCGCTGTTTGTCAGAAAACATTTTAGCAAGTGTTAAAAGATGTTAAATCACACTTACACAAAATCGAGGCTCTCCCCTTGCCTTAATCTGAAAGACGAGAAATGAAAGCAAATGATCCTTACTGAAAAGGTCAGTGACACTTAAGGCCAACTCTGTATTGCCACCCAACATCCTTTAAAGAACTATCAATTTCACCCTCCTTTGTGGCAAACACTGATCCAGAATGATAAAAGTGACGGGTAGCTTTCATCTTGCCTCAGCCGAGTTCCTGAAATCCATGAGGAAAACCAGAATCCAGCACAGAGGATGCCTGTTAGTTAATGAGCATACGACCTGCCATCTGTCAAAGGCTGAGTCCTCCGCACCTCTGTATTTTCTTTTGCTTTGTTTCACAGACACCTCACTGAAAGATCCAGTGAGCAATAAAAGGCCATGATTAGTTGGCTTCTACATAAGTTCTAGTTACCCCAGTTTCTCATTCCCATTCTCGACGTGCTGGCAGAATTGACTTTTTGCTTCCCTCTGTGGCATAACTCATTCCTAGATGGTACAGGACCGCCCGAAGCCCAGAGCTCCCGCTGACTTGTGCCTTTTAGTATGCAGCTGTCTAAATCCTATAGTGCTCATTCCTAAGATAATTATTACCACCTTCCAGGGCCAGTGTGGCACTAGGCCCTAGAGATTATTAGAGAACAAGAAATGGCCACTTTCTTGGAATACAGAGAAAGGCCACTTGGGGGCACCCTAAAAACGAATTGCTTAGCAACCCCATTGTGTTGTTAGAGTATTCATCAGAAAACACTACTTTCTGGAGATTTTTCCCAGTAGAGATGATAACTTGCGAATAGGAATAATTTGCATGGCCTTTTCTCCACCCAGACCTTTTCTGTCTGGATTCAGGCATGTGGAGAAGGTCAGTAGAGGTTAGAAGGAGAAAAGCCAGGTATTTATCCTCAGAGAATCCAGCCTATCTGTAGCCTTTACCATGCTCTGGGACTTTGACAGGGATGCCTTTCTAGGTGTGTGGCTGGCATTAACAGACCTCCTTTTCCTTCTTCATTTACAGTCGGCTACGGTGAAGCTGTCAAAGCCAGTGGCTCTGTGGACTCAGCAGGATGTCTGCAAGTGGCTGAAGAAACATTGTCCAAATCAGTATCAGATCTACAGTGAGTCATTCAAACAGCATGACATAACTGGTAAAGTATGCGGTATCCAAAATATCATGCTCCTTTTCCCTGTCACCACCACAGTGGCCTTTCCCACACCCTTAGAATGCAACAGCATCTTCCTGCTGAAATTTTCTGGCATGGGTTTACTTTAAAAGGAGGGTGAAATTCCAGGTCCCTGTGAGCTATGCTACTTAACAAGCATAAGTGGTTATTATAGAGAAGCATGAATTTTGAGTGTCCCATATAAAAGTATAGGGGACTCTAGAAAAAATAAGAGTATATTGTCCTAGAGAAGAAAAAGGGGATAAGTCTTTTAGATTAAGTTGGTTAAGCAAATGTTCTAAATAGAAAAATTTTAAAGTGAATATAATAATGCTTACTGCCCATGAGATGAATACCTTCAAAGCATAAATTATGACTTCATTTAGACAGAGGGGCTTTGGATATTATATAGAGAGGTCAGGAAGCATGACAGTATAATGAACTGTGAAAGTCCTTAGGATCATGTCTCTGAATCGGAGATGCTGCTTGCATGTGGGTAGCCTCCCTCCTTCCTCTTCTGCAGACATGGCCATGAACGACAGGACGGAGGAACATGCTCCATGCACCAAAACTGTGCTTCCAGGAGACAATGTTAAGTCCTGATTCTAATCCAGATTCTTCCTGTTTTCTAAGAGAAAACTGGTCCTCTAATGGGAAAGGGACTTGCTCTTGAGTAGCTCAGCATTCTAGATGTCAAGCCTCTTTCCAAACTCATTCTTTCTATTGTCAGAAATCCTAACCTCTCTATATTCTATTCACTCCTGTTGGAAGTCCCTTTGGAAAGGGACACAGTAAACAGTAGAATTTACTTTTGCAGTTCAGTTTTTACCCTGTAGCTCTGAAATCTGGCGCAGATCACACCTCCCTAGAGCAAGACTTGATGGGTGGTTCTCAAAGTGTGTTCCCTGGAGCCCTTGGGTACACTAGAGGTTGCCAAAGGGGCAAAGGGTGTGCCTTGGATTGGAGTGGGTATGTCAACCAGAGAAGCTGTTTTACGTATTCAAAATGTACAAAATCTTGATTTGGTGAAAAGCATTCTAATACTGAATCATGCTTTAAAAACACAGAGCTAGATTATCATGGATTCCCGCTGACCAAGATGCTAATATTTAAATACGTAAGAAACTCAATCAAAGGTAGCTCCAGCTGAGTACCAGAGAGGGAAATCCTCCTAATTTAAATACAAAAATGGTCCTTAATGCACTTCCTTTCTCCCCTACCAACTAGAGGTAATGGCCCTTTTGGATGAAATTCCTGAAGCCCTGAAGGTAGTGTCAGAACTTAGCTTAGAGTCCAATTGTCTAGATTTTTCTCTTAGTTCCCCCTTAAGAATATAAAAAAAATCCCATACAGGGACAATTATTCCATCCCTAAAAGTCATCAATCAGTTAGTGACCATTTGGCTGATTATAGCAGCCTTCATTAGGTCACGTCTGCTTAATGTATATTAATGCCTGTGCGACAGTAATGCAAAGCCTTTTTCATGATCTTATTTGAAAGTAGTGTTATCTTTTATTAGGGGTGGGAGTTATGAGATATCCTTGAGGGAAGGATAAGCATTTATAATAGTTTGAAGAGAATGGGTGTTATGCCCCTTAGAAATAAAGATCTCATGCTTCAGTGCTGATAGATTAATGGTACTAATTCCCAAGGCTTTCTGTTATGTAACATGAGGGAAAAGGGGTATGCAAATGAGATATGTTTTTAACAACTGTCACCTTATTTTTGGTGGCACACTTGGTCTCCATGGAATATAGCTGGTATTGGTAAATCCCAACCTTCTTGGGATCTTGGGGAAACTGCTTAACCTGGATGAGTTATTTGACCTCACTTCCTCCTCTCCAAAATATTGCTAATAATAGTACCTGCCTCAGAGAGTTGTTATGAAGATTAAATGAAATAATACAAGTAATTGTGCAGTCAGCCATTTGTTCACACCTCCTATGTGCCAGCATTGCACTATTATTCATGTCAAGACTCATCTGGAGATGTCTAAAACCTACTATTATTTTATTCTAAGGGCAGCCTGTGTTCTTGCAAGGAAAGAAGTCAGGGAATTATTTGGGGACTTAGGGAACAGAGAGAATGGTTTCAGATTAACTTTTAGATATTCACCTATTTGAGCCCTCAAAGACCATTCTCCTCCCCTCTTCTCTGGCTTCCTACCTCTCCAAGGGTGAATGTAAAATACCCAGGTAATCACAAGTGCCAAGTGGCTAGGAAATTGCTTTCAGGATTTATGCCAGCCTGCAGTTCCCAGCCCTATGGTACTGAAATTTCTGGGAATCCTAGTACTCTTAGAGGCTATGATAAACAGGGCAGAGAAGTCATAAAACATCAAGACATGTGACAACGCCGCAAACCTTAGCAGCCTGTGCATACATAGAGGAACTTAGGGTGAGGGCAGTGATGACAGGTGCACTTTAGCTTTCTTTACCTGTAAAAAGGACATGATAATCATACCCGCCCCCATTAGTGATGCCGTGAAGGTGCTAAGCATACAATGAATGTTAGCTGCTGCTGTTTTCTTACATGCTTTTCTGATTTCTGTGAAAATAACACACATAAATGATTTTGAATTCATCTATCTTTATTATCCTGAAAATTGGGAAATGGGTACCCAAGGCGGCAGGGGAGAAGTCTGGGCTGGTAAATATCCTGTGCTTATCTGCAAGGCTGCAATAAAGATGTTCATTGCATCTTTTATTTATGCTTAGATTCTCTTGCATACTGCTCATTTATTTTTCTTAGCAAAACCCTCCAATATCATGTTCATCAAGGAAGCATGTGATATCAATGTAACATGTAAACAATCCCTTAATTTAGAGGCACATGGTACAATGATGATAAAGAAAAAAGACATGTATTAAATGGAAGGAAGAAAATAAAGACAGCCTTTCTAAGGCAGACCTGAGTCAAATCCTGCCCCCTTGTCCTCCACCCCCAACTTTTGACAAGTAATAGCAATATAACATCACACAAGTTAATTTCCCACCAGTGAAATGAGAAAAATATTTATCTTAAAAGGTTGTTGGGAAGATTAGTGGGATGATGCATATGAAGAGCTTAGCTTAATGTCTGATACATAGTAGACATTTATCCATTTAGCAAGTATTTATGGAGCATCTGCCCTGTAGCAGGTTTGGGGAAATAGAGCAATAAATAAGATGGTCAGTGATCTGTGTAAGAAAAAAATTGTACTATCTTGGAAAACTATGCATTATCAATAGCACACCATTTTGGGTTACCTAATTCTGATTCTACAGAGCTGTTTTACAATTCTGTAAGCTGTAGGTAACTGATAGCAAAACAGAATAATTATTGTTATAGATGTGTAAATTCTGCCCCATAGAGGTTCAGTTGACTTCATTAACCACAGTGGAAAAGATGAGTTTTTCCTCCCATTTACACATTCATTTCAATCTTCCTTATCTATAAATGTGTCTGTCTGGATTCTCCTTTGAGCTGGTTGTAACATCTTACCAGTTTCCTCATTAATGAGTTAAATAAAATCTTAAACCTGTCTTCATTTTTGTATTTGATGAGAATCATGATTTTGACCTTTTTTTCAGAATTATCCTTTAACCTCAATAGTTTAATATTTTAAATTTATGCTTTAGCTAGTAATTCCACTTCACTAACATTTTCTTAATGCCTTTATTTGAAGAACACTGTATTCTAAGCAAATTGTCCTCCCAGTTTCTCCAGCACCTAAGAAAACTTAAGGTATGTTTTATCCCACCAACATTCAAACTCTTTTGCGAAATTCCTGTTAGAATTTGATGATTTCATTGTGTCCATAAAGTGCCTGCTATTTTGTGGCAGATTTGTTTAATCAGAAGAGGAGTTACTAGTGTTAACTCCATGCAGAAGCCCTCTTAAAAGGCATAAGATGGTTAGAATATCTGAGAGGCATTAGGATAGATAGATATAAATCGTAAGATTAGGCTTGAAGGAAAGAAATTTGTCTATTTTCCTATGCTTGCAAGATTCTTTCCCCAGCTTTCTCAGGCCCGGCTTGGCATGCTGATGAGTATGCTCTGCTGGGCCAGGTATAATCTCACAGGCAACTTTCCGATTCTCTTTTATGCACAGTTAAGAATCTTTTTCAGGTTTGAGGCGATTTCAGCCCCTGGCTGTGCCTTGTATTCTTCCTGTGGTGGTTGCTAACGTGAACTCACCTCCTTCAGCCCCAAGTCCTCCATCTGTAAAGGGTTCGCTCCCCTGCCAACTTTAAAGACTTATTTTCATGGGTAAAGCACTCAGAGTTCCCCAGAATATAAAATATTTTTAAAAGATATTTTAAATGTGTAAAAGGTTTCCATGTAGTCTGCTTTGTGGAGCAGCAGTGGGAATCCTTTAGATGTCTAGATGTCTGCAGGAATAAATACGTACCTATAAGTATCCCCTGCAAATGGTCAATATCAATTTGTCATATTTTTGAATCGTCTCCTACAAAACAGATGAATACTTCTGGGTGTTTTTGTGCTTCAACCACTGCCCTTTGTAACTCTTTCCCCTTTCTAAAATATTCCACTGAGATGTCACACCCTGAAATTTGACAATTTTGCTCATGCTGTTGAATTAAGCAGACCTCAGTCTTTTTCAGACTCTGGATTGTGGCTCTGCATTTGCTAACATTGTTCTCTTCAGTGCTGATTTCTCTGAGATGTTCCACCCCTTTACCCTTCTGCTCTTGTCTTAGTCTTTTATTATGGTTAGGATCACCCACAGAGACCAACAGGATGTGTAGTTAACAAGTCTCAAAAGATGTGACATACCTGTGAGAATATTACATAGTAGAATCCAGTATAGCCAAATAAAGTGTGGTCATATTTAACTACTGCACAATTGCTCATCTTAATTGGTGTTCCCTCTGAATATTGTGTTCTGCTTTCCTATATCTTAGTGTTTTGTTACATGTCTTTTTTATATGAACTGGTCTGCATTTTTTTCATTGAACCTTGAGCAGCATTTTATGTCTG